CAGTACTCGTCGGCGAGAAGAGCTTAGCAGAGTTGAACGCGAACGCAGCCGTCGTGTCAAATACGGGATCAGAGATCAAACAATGACGGACTCGGATAAAAGAATCAGTCAATCAATCGATCAATTTTATTTTTCCAGAGCGAGAGGGAACTCTTCTTGCAGGGTCAGTTAAAGGCACAAAAGGCGATACAAAGTAGACTGACGGTATGCCAGTGGCTTACATCAGGGGTAAGCTCCAGCTGCACGCGCAAAGCAAAAAATAAATAAACAAAAAAATGTAAGGACACATTATCGACTACAGTAGAATATTATACGCGCGGCACAATATTTGCGCTGAATAACATGCCGAGTAACACCGTCCAGATAAAAACATCGCCAGAGTGTTTGTAAACGAAGCACCAAGCAGCAACCAATTGGTGAATATTTTTGAAAATGATCTATTTGTCTACTTGATTGATCTACTTTGAGAAAAAATAGGACAAGTTAGCCCTTGTTCAATAGACCTTTAAAAAAAAACAAAAAAACTACAAGGCCTCTCTTTGACGCTACGCTCCATCGCGCGGCGTGAAGGACTGTGGTGCTGTCCCAATGGACGCTCGTGCCGGCCCGTACCGCTGAAGACTGCGCTTGAAAACTGTGGTTTTGTTTTAGCTCCCCCGAGACTGGATCAAGAACAAACGCCCACTCACCAATAAACAGGTTGTCGTTTCAATGGTAAATCAAAAGGACACCACCGATCTCTGCCGGAGTCAAACAGCTTATTCGAGAAAAAGCTGAATTTCTGGCGTGATGTTTGCTCTTACTGCATATTGAAGGTCTTTTACTTCGTAGGATTGTCGCTGAACCGTCAAGTCGGATCACTCTGCGCAAACCTCGTACAAAAGACTGTTTACAAACACCAGTCACCGCAAAATCCGTGGTTCGAATGCCGCGTGTCCAGTTTTCTCCTTGAACTCGGTCCGTGCGGCATTCAAAGCACGGATCTGGCGGCGACTCGCGTTCGAAGCTGTATACAGACTTTTTTTTTTTTGTATGATGCATTTGCTTTTTCTGGTTTCTGTTGAAAGGTGGTGGCGCCAGTGTGCGAATAGCCCCCAACCTCTTCAGGCTCTGGACTAGGCGACGGGTTTTGCAGTGTTTACGAGAAAAAATGTACACGCTATCTTCTGGATACGGCCACTTATAGCGCTGCCAGACTTAATTCACTCTTATGATAAAAGAATTATGTTTGTTTCCAAACGAAGAAGGGGCGAATAAGGAGTGTTATCCCGGTTTTGATGTAGCGTAATGTGTTAACTTGGGACGCTAATTGAGACGGCAACATTCGGCAATGTTTGTAAGTTGAAAGAAACAGCGTGAGTAATGGCTGTTAGAGTGAGATAAAGACAAAAGAAAATCGGGGCACAGTGCTGGAGTGCAGAAGCTCGAAGCGCGTGGAAGAAAAGTCCGTACTCTGAAATGCAGGTATTCTGGGTTCAATCGCCACAGCTTTCCTTTGAATATGAACGGACGTCGTGACTTTTTGCGGTCGGATAAACATTGGCTGCATATAATGGCTCCAGATCACGTGACCGCTCGTTCTGGCTTCGGGCTGAGGAAAGGAACGCTGCTCGTTTTTTTGCGAACGTTTGTGCAACTTTGCTTGAACAAAAAAAATTAACGTGCGTGTTTCATAACATATGAATGCCGAGAAGTAATTATAAGCGGTATTTACCAAAACGTGTAAAAATGCTGCATCACCCCCTGAAAAACGTTTATTTTGCTCCTTTTTTTTCTTTTACCGATGTCACGCGCTAACAGTTCCCTGCGCAGTCCACATGTCTGGCTGGAATACCACAAAACGCGTGCGAGTAAAATAGTAGTCACTATATTACTATAGCATTCGAAACTTACATTTTGCCACTTTTGTTAGCAAATCTTTTCTATTATTCGCAACTTTCAGCGGTGGTGGAACCGCGGTGTGAGAATCGCGCTTCCTAGCTCCAGTATGATTGGCCTAACAATAAAGGTGGTTGCCTACACCTTCCTGACGTGAAAAAAATGAAGTAAGGCTCTAATACTGCTCGTATATATCAAAAATATAATTACTTAGGCGTCGCACACCCAGCATCGTACTGCTCTTCTGCGACGATCATCCACTTGACAGCCATATTGATGGGCGCCAGTCCACCCCCTATACACTCCGTGCGGGAACTATAGGGGGCGCTTTGAAAAACGCGCGCAGCGCCGCTAGCGGAGGAGCTGGCGTTCGACCGTGAGGCGCGTTCAGCAGCCTGCGGCGCCTTTTCGCATGCCAAGCTGTGGCGGCAGAAGCGCGCACGGACGAAACTTTTGCTTTTTGAGCCGATTCGTTGAGGGTGACGTTGCATGGGTGCTGGGGCAGAAGGGCATTTAGCTGTTCTCCACTTCCTATATATTGAGTTTGAGTCGTTATTCGGGGTAATTTCTCTAGTTTCGGCCGAAAAAGGAGTTGGAGCAATTTTCCGAAAAACAAGACGGCCGCCACCTTAATTGCTCTGAGTGGGAAATTTATTTCGCTCGTCGCTGTAAACCTAGGACTGCTGGAACGATGATATTTGGAGGCGAGTGAGATGTCCACTAAGGTTCTGCACGAAGTGTGCCAAGTTTCATTAAGACAGCAGGTGTGAAAGTTATGTTTCTAACGAATAAAGAAATAAAGCTGTACGGGATATCCAATATTGGACCCAAAATGTTGTAACCGGGCTGTGCGAAGTGCAGATTTGGGCACACAGGTGCTTGGACTTGACAGTAACATGACACAGCACTTATTATAAAAAAAAAAAGTGGCATCGGGAAACCAGGGGAAAATTTGGTTTGGGCGGCGTAACTCAATGGGAACCGGTTTTGACCATGAAAAGGCTGCCAAGATAATACCACTGATTGTGGGAGGTGGAGACTTTAGAGGTAGGAAGGGACTAGTGGACTGCACTTCCAATTGAAACAACTTTACGAAAGGTAATTCTAAAGCCGAAAAAACGAAGTTGTCTGCCAACACACGGTTTGGCTGCCAAGGCTTTTGCAGTCAGCTGTTGTGTAATAACCTGTTGTGCGAGGTGCTGATTTTCGGCCCACAGGTACTTTGACATGACCGTCACTTGGCACAACACTTATTATAACAAAAACAGTTGGCATAGCGAAACCAGGTGGAAATTTAGTTTGGGCGGCGTAACTAAATGGGAACTGGCTTTGACCGTCAAAGGCTGTCAGAAAATACCACTCACCGTGGGAGGTGCACACTTTAGAGGTAGGAAGGGATCAGTGGACGGTACTTCCAGTTCGAACCAATTTGCGATAGGTGGCTCTAAAGCCGAGAAAAAAAATATTGTTGTCTACAGAACTCGGGGTGTCAGTGTTTCCACATCCAAAAGGAGGCTGACCAAGAAAGAAAGCACACCACATAAACTTCCATACTCAAACGCCGATTCTCCAGTGATTTCGAGTTTCATGGTTGTTTTCTTTAGATTTATATTTGTCACTTTTTTACCGTTCAAATCTTTCTTCATGAAGTACAGATTGCGTGCCATATCTGTCCGGAAATTTCATCGACACATACGATGGGGACGAAACTTCTTTGGAGGGCATTCCTCCAACGAAATCGGCACTGCATACCCGCGAGTGTGGGATGGCATTTCAGTTCGTCCCATCGGCGCTGACACATGTAGGCGTTACTGGTACGAAAACAAACGCAGAGCGCAAAGCTGTAGAATATGTCAGCCGTGCCGACACAGTGGCAGACATGATCGGCACACCAAATTTCTCGCGTCGTACGGCACGGCTTCATCGTTGTCGCTGTCCCACAAAACATCGGCGAGGTGAAAAACTGTGAAACTTTGTCTCCACGAGATACGACGCATAACTATTGAAGCACTTAATGGCGCAGCACAGACAGCACTTCATGCTGTGAACCCAGCCCAACAGCACCACTCCGACTTCAACCGACTTCAACGCGTACCAACGTACGCGGCGTGGTTTCGGTTTCGTTTTCTCTGGGGTGCTCACTGCCTACCTTCGGTACCGGCCGCGCGGCGGCGCGCCAGTCGCGTCGCACGGAGTGTATAGGTAGTTAAAGTTATGAATGGTGAAACTGCTTTTTGAAGTCACTATACTGACCCATCCACCCTTTTGAGAGATGAGCCCGACACTCTATTGACACAGTTTCTCCGCCCAGGAAAACTGAAAGCCTACGAAATCATGCAGGAAGCATTGAACAACAGATACCTACCAATTGCTTGATGTGCGTAATCTTCAGTTCTCAAAGTTTGGTGACTTGCACGTTGGGTCATCGCACCGTGCTGGTGATCACTCCTACTTGTCCTTGCCGAGAAAATTCAATTCGGTGGTTAAAAATGGTGCACAAATGTTGTACGCGCTCAAGGCAATCATAATAGCCGCTGTCGTGACATCAGTGAAAGCCCGACACCATTGGAGTAAAACGCTTGCAGAATCGCTTCACTACTGCTTGATGACCCTTAATTACTTTTGAATATTCCGGCTCATTACTTGACATGGAAAGTGTTGTGCATCGTTAACGGTGGCCCGTGCGCGTCGCTTTACGAAGTGCTTTTTGCGTGTGTGAACGTAAGCATAGTATTTTCAAAAGCTCCACTGTTACGCCTATAGGGGGTATTCACTGGACGCCATATTTGAGGTAACAGCGCACAGCGCATGCCCGGAAAGAGTTTCCGGTCAGCTCTCGGGCAACCGCAAGAGAAGAGAGGAAGAAGAAATCCTCTTATTACCGGGGCTCTCCTTTGTGGGTCCCAGGCTTCCCTAAACGTCGCTATTCTCCCTCTAGAAGACTATAGAAGATTAACTTGCCACTCTAAATTCGTACAAAAGCATATCTCCCCTCTCTCTCTTCCCCCGTGGTCAGGAAGCAGCAGCGAGCTCAGCTATGACGGCCAGTGAATACTCCCTATTGCAGCGCTCCACATACCTTGTGGAAAATAGACTTCCCTTTGCCTCGCCCTTGTGCGCAGAGAAGCGAGTGAACAAGCTGTGCAGCGTGCCCCTGCGGCAACGCGAGGGCTACCTGTCATCGCCGGGCTTCCCGCACTACTACCCGGCCCTGACGGACTGTGTCTGGCACCTGGAGGCCGCCCAGGGGCAGACCGTCCACGTGCAGATGCTCGACGTCTCCATGCGAAGGCCAGCGCCGGGACCCCAGGTGGGCAGCAGCGGCCTTAGCTTCTGGCACAAGGCGCTTATGTTCACACTGCCGTGTGGCCCAGATGGTCTGTTGGCCCTTTGAAAGAACCTCATAAGCTTGTCTTTTAAAGGGGATTCACCCGCGATTTAATTGTAGCCTTTTCCTCAGAAATGGAGCAGAAGTTTTTCGGAACAAATGGTATGCATGAATAACGGGCCAAAGTTGAGCTATAGTTGGTGCATTGATGCAAAAAAAAATGTCAGCTAAAACGTTAGAGACAGAAACACAGAAAAAAAAAAGATATACAAACAGCTGACTATCAACTATGACTTTATAGTTCTTCATCACCTTAACAAAAATAAGTTTGTTTGTTTTTCTTTTTATGCTGCACATAAAATAATGTCAATAAATTCAATTCCGTGGTGCTCTCAGCGGAGGAATGCGATTAGAAACTGTTGTTTTGTTTTAGCTATTGCGAGATTGGATCAATAACAAGCGCCCACTCACCAATAAACAGGTTATCGTACCTATGGTAAATAAAAAAAAATAAAAAAAACAGTGATCTCTGTCGGAGTCAAACAGCTTATTCGAGAAAAAGCTGCATTTCTAGCGCGATGTCTGCTCTTGCTGCACATTGAAAATGTTTGACTTCGTACGAGTGTCGTTGAACTGTTAAGAGGGATCACACTGCTCATACATGATACAAAAGAGAGTCCGCAAACACAAGTCACAGCAATATCCGTGATTCGATTGACGTGTTGTAACCTGACCCTTTCCTTTTACATCAATGCACTAACCAGCTCAACTTCAGTTCGTTATCCGGTTTTTTCTAGTTATTTGAGCTCGCCTTCTATGTGTTTTAATTAACTTGGGCCACGCCCTCTCGGCCTTCTAATCGCCACTACCACATGCCGGGCGAAGATGTTTTCAGGCAGCACCGACACGATCACTCTCGGCGATCTGGCACGTCCCCGTGAGGGGACGTGCCACATCGCTGGTCACATTACCAGCAAAACACTCGGAGAGCAAATCTCTGCAATCTACGCAATCAACTCGGCGAATGATGAGGCGCAACATCCGTTTAGACCTAAAAATGCAGTCTGCGCTGTGGCATCACGTAATGCAAAGCGTCATGATTTGCATTGCGTAATGCCACAGCGCAGACTGCATTTTTAGGTCTAAACGGATGTTCGGCCTCATCATTCGCTGAGTTGATTGCGTAGATCGCAGAAATTGGCTCTTCGAGTGTTTTGCTGGTAAGTAAACCCGCAGACATTTCGTATAGAGTGTGGGTTCATGCTAAAATATAAAGTTATATTTTGGCGAACATTAATTAATATTCCCATCAACCTTTATTTGCCTAAGAAAAGTGTGATTCGTTCGATCAAGTTTCCTCGTTGTCTGAAAGAGTCGGTTGTGTGCTTCTTTGATTCTAAAACTTAACGATGCTAGTGCTGAGCGTGAAATCGACGCACGCGCGACGGACACTCCGCGCTGGACGGCCGCGGCATTTTTTTTTTTTTTTATTTCGTGGAGATTTGTTTTAGCAAAGTTTCCCAGTCAATTGCGAAGCATTACATCACTTCAAGAAGCCAGTGGACGCGGAAGACATAACAGTTTGACGTGCAACCGAAATCTCAGATTGGCCTTTGTCGGATTGCGGGCAGCTCGGCCGATATTTAAACTCGACAAATATGGATTCATGGGCCAGCACGTTGGCTCAGAGACACTGAGACGATTTATTATTTTGTGTTTTGTTTTAATATCATTGCGAGTGAAGAGCCACCGAGGTGGTTTTTGAAATAAAATAGAGTCAAACCATTCCGACACGCATAGTTTGACTGCGAAAATTATTTTTGCAAGTGATAAAAGCATTAACATGTTTTCGCATACGTGGCGGAATTTGAAATAGCAAAATGCATTTCATGCCGCCCATTTCATTTGGGTCGCGTCGGGCATGTGTACCGACGCACAGTAGATCGCGCGCAAAAGCAGCTGTGGTGCACCCGCAGCCTCCCGCTTGTTGTTCTGACATCTCTGGCTCGCTCACTGCGGGCTTCCAGGCATCTGACACCTTGACATCTGGCGGTTTCCCTGTCTTTCACGTCGCGTTCCAAGCGGCACATGACGGAATATGCAAATCAATGTGTTCTTGAACACGTGTCGCCATCTGCACTTTATAATGAGGAACTACAATTTGCCGTAACTGAATGGGAAAAGTTTGAGGTCTTATAACATTCTTAACTGGTAAAATATCAATATCGAAGTTCTGCAAAATTTAAGATCAAAGGATGCTTCATAATTTAATGTACCGTTATTTTGATTAGTTGACGTGATTCCGTTTTTATAGCGCCATAAAATAATACCATTTTAAACTTTATTTTTTTATTTTAAAATATACATTATCTGTACAGTTCGTTGCTTACTTCTTTAATTTATTGGACCTAACCAAACGCTCACGTAAAATATCGTGGACGATGGGGCGTTATATCGAACAATTTTTTTTCAATATGAGAGACTGTGGTCTATTAAAAGCTGAATAATTAAGTAACAACTAAAAATAATTGTAATATCGAAACATTAAAGTATTGTTAAAAAAGAGCTCTTTAATTTGACATTAACTTTATAATTGTAAGATACATAGAAAGAAAGTTGTCAGCTTTCAAAAAAGCACCAAAACGTCATGCACGGTGGGGTTGCACCCTAAAGGCGCACGGAGTATTGGCGGCGAGATGTTTTGGTGGCGCCCTCGTATGGTTCCCTCTCATGACGTCATTAATTTGCGAACAGCAAGTTCGAGGGTGTTTGTAATGAGCATGGTGAAGCCTGAAATCATTTCGTTCTGAAACGAACGATGCCAACACCGTGAAAATTGTACTTCTTACATTACTCTTATCTCCGTCGATGAGAAATCCTTTGCTGACGTCATAATCAGCATACCACCAATCGTGGCAGGCCGACCAGGGCGATACTTTAGATCGCTCACGCCGCCAATAGAGTACACCAAATCGGAGGACGTGGAGCGAAAGCTCGCGCTGCAGAATCCAGGGATCCTGGGTTCAATCCCCACCCCTGCGCGTTTCGATCTGGATGAACATCCTACCGGCGCGTGCGGTCGTGTATAACTACTGCGTGATACCCATTAGAAACCACAGGCCAGCGGTTGTACTGCACGGGCTAAATGGCCCACCTATAACATATTTTTGATGAAAAGCGTAAATTTCGAAAGTGTGTTGAGGCTATTGTTTTTTTCCTAACGTTTCGCTTTTGTCCTGTTTAACATTTTACTACTCATTGACTCATTGATAAGTGCACCACTATGGAGGCGTTAAGCTGTTGGTGGGTCACTGGAAATAAGAATAAATAAATAAATAAGATACAAGTCGCCCTTTGAGGCTGGCTAACTTCAGGTTGTATAAACATGCAGACAATTCCTTTTTCGTTGCCTGGCGTATCGCGAGGAGTTTCAACTCACAAGTGAGGTCTCTTATGAACCAATCATTCAGTAAGCTAAATTGTACGTCTCCGCTATGGTTTCCGGTTTAATTTTGCAGTACAGCAGTGACGTTTGTTTAGGCTGTAGAACTGCGGTCGTTTCTTTGAACGGTTTTTTGTTGGAATCATCGCAGGACTGCGTCCAGGACTTGGTGAGCGTGAGCGAGGGCAGCAATCCGCTTCTGGTGGCCTGTGGCGAAGAGCTGCGCAACCTGCGCAGCGTCCAGTCGGTGTCCAATCGCCTCGAGGTTCGCTTCAGGGCCAGCGAGTTCGTGCCAAACCGGGGCTTCCTGCTCAGATACAGACGTAAGTCAAAGCTTTTCTTCCTCTTTCGAGGAGTGAAGTGTATTTCCCCCTACACTCGCTGTCACCCCAAGAAAACAGAAGAGGGCGTGTCCACCCTGCTGCGTGCTTAGTGGTCACATGCCGTCTCACGGACTTATCCGCTCTACCAATAGTCCTTCTAAAATTACGCCGTTAAAAAAATTAACTTCTTTTAAAAAGCAATATATATATATATATATATATATATATACACAGTGTAATCCACTTATAACGATACCAGATATAACGATATATCGCTTATAGCGATCAAATTTTTTAGATTTGTCAATTCTCCCATCGCCCCTATGTAAAAATAAACCATATATAACGATAGAATTATCGGCGACATATCGGATACAACGATAGAATTCTGGCCGCCCGGAAGGTGCTCTACAGACGTCGCATGCTGGAATGGCTCATCATGAAACTAGACTGCTCAGGATTGTCTCAATACGCCGGCGGACCTCCTGACCTGAAGGTGAGCTTGTTAGAAGCGGTGCGGTTCGTGCATGGTGCGTGGTATGAGGTGAAGCAGGTTACACTCAAGAACTGTTTTAAAAAGGCAGGCTTCGTGCGCCACAACGCCACGGTCTCGGAAGAGACAAATGACTTGCTCATCGAACCTGCCGATGTGGGTGAACTTTGGGACCACATAGCAGCTTCCGAGGAGAACATCGGCGGAGCTCTCTTGGGAGACTTTTTGAACGCGGACAACGCTGCCGCTTCATGCGAGGAGTCTACTGATGAGGCCATTGCCGAGGAACAGCAATCGCGACGAAAAATCACATCGAGCGACTGCGAAAGTAGTGACGACGACGGCGGCGACGAGAACACCCCGCCTCCAATGTCTTCACAAAATGCCCTGCTCTCCATCCAGTCGCTGGTCGGTTTTGTGCACGCAAAAGGACTGCCGCCAGCGTACGCGCAACAACTGGAAGCAATGCACACGGCAATTGTCAAACTTCAGCTCAAGCAAGCGCAAATTTCCGACTTTTTTAAGCATGCTTAAATTATTTTATAGTCATTTTCGTACCTTTTAATAAAGCCTTCGGTTTTCTTTGCCTCGGCTCGCGTTGTACGACCTGATTCACTCATCGCCCGTAAGTAACTTCTCTTTGTGTTTTTTTTTTGTCGGTCCAGATATAACGATAATCGGCTATAACGATTGGATTTTGCGGTTTTCTCAATATCGTTATAAGTGGACTGCACTGTATATATATATATTTTTTTTTTTTTTTTGTCACGAGATGAATCAGGAACATTTCGATTACGAACGCTACTATTTCGATTCTAGGATTGGTTGATAGCCGCCTCCAGCAACCGAAAGCCAGCTTACCAAAATAGCAGGCGATCAATATTCAATATCATTATAGGGTGTCTAAAATACCCAGGCTCGATCTAAAATGGGCCGTAAGATTCGGCGCCTGCACGTAGCATTCTGAACTTTTCGTAAAAGGTGTATTTCACAGGTCGGTTTTGAGACATGCATGCATTTGAGACATGCCAATGAATGCAAACAGACAGTCTTACAGTGCTTCCAAGGATGCTGCCCAGAATCAGTTTTGACACACGAACTACGCGTGGATATGATAATCAAGTTCCTTGATCTCAAACTGGAATTTGAAGATAAGCACGTTTGCTGGACGTATGAACCCAGTTCAAGCAAAGGATTTCTTCCGTTTGAGTCAGGACATTCCAAAACCATAAAACGAAGTGTTGCGAACACCGCTGTTCAATCGGCCTTAAACAAATCGCGTCACCCAAATACAGAGTACAGTTAAAAAAATTACTGTTTACGAGACTCTGAATATCCGAATAGTCTCTTGGTTAGCGAAACATCTCCACAAAACTGAAGTGCAAAACGTCGGACACAGGTGGAACGCAGCAAACAAAAGCTAAACAAAACATCGCAATATTACCCTACATCTATGAAAGAACACAAATTAAAAAAGATAGCTGCGAGGCGGGACATCAAAGTTCTGTGCTCTGCACCAAATCATGCATATTCCATGTGCCGTAAGGTAAACCAAGACACCAACCACATGAAAACCGGCAACATCCCTCACAGGACCCCATATGCCCCATGTGAAAAAGGGATAATGTTTATCACAATCCCTTATCGTGTTGCAAGTGTCACTTTTGTCTAGAACTGAATGCAGCCAAGTCGAGACGGGCCCATTGCCGGGGCGGGTCGATGAATGATTTAACGATTCGGAATCGGTGCATGAGCATGTTTCAGCAATACAAATTGAAGTTTTCTTTCCAGCTACTTCATGTCCTAATTTGAAAAATAAGAACCCAGCCGCGGAGAGCAAGTCGTCTGCTCCTTGCACAGGGGTTGCGCTGACGTCAGAACGACGCCAAGCTCTGATTGGCTTTGATTGAAAGGACAGTGGGTAGACCTCAGTGCTAGAGGCCTTGAGGTCTACCCACTCCTTTTTTCTTCAATCAACCAATAAGCGCTCGGGGTTCGGACTTCATCGCAACCCCTGTGCAAGAAGCAGACAAACTTGCGCAGAAGGTCGCGATCAAAGAAAACCGATAGAACTAACTTTTCGACAATTTCCAGTCGCACACGGCGGCAGAAATGAGCCTTCAACTGAGCGTTATAGATGATAAAATCGCGTCAGTATAACCAGTGCCAGATTTCGGCATTAAGATAAATTAAGTTACGAAACGTTACGCGCTGAAACGGCGATTCTCACGAGAAAAATTGCACCCACCTTGCGAGCGTAGGTCATGCTCATCGGCGGTACAGCGGTAAGTTCGGTGCGTGCTCTATTCACGAAATATTCTGAGCATATTCGAGAGGATGCCGTCGGGGAAAAGTATTTTTTTGTTTACGGACGCAACCCACTTCCGCCGGAGTTTTTGGTCATTTGGAAACTGATGGAGTTTGAAGACATTGCAGTCGCAATCGCCTTGTCGGATCCCGTGCGCGTTACAAACTTCCTACGATAATATTCTGCGCTTTCAACTGTCTCCGAACGATGGTGTCCCGATAACCAGAAGATGGGCGTCATTGATTCCGTGAGCTCTAATTACGTCTGGAAGTCAAACAAAGTACAGTAAACCGCGAAGAAACACACGCGTCCAAGGCGTTATCCAGGTCTTTCGCTCGTTCCTAACCATCTAGTAAAACGAAAAGCGCCGGCAGCCCTTTCCTTTTTTTTCTCTCCCTATTTCAGTAAAACGGTCTATAGGTGCTGTCTGGGTGCTGTTAGGACCACTAAAAGAGCTACGCTTAGAGCATCGGCACTCTGTTCCCCGATATTGTTGTGGGCGACGCCATCCTGGTGCTTGTGCAGAGCAGACGGAAATGTCGATCGCCATAATTCAAGCGTGCGACTTTCTCCGCATTAAATTCGGTGTAAGGAGGTCCATGTAATATTTATTTGCTCTGTCGCGAGCTGTTTAAACATTTGTGGAGGACGAAAAGAATTTCCCGTGATTTCAGGTAAAAATTCAGACAACTGGCAACCATGATTTTAAGCGACAAGATGGGTAAGTGTCGTTACTGTGAAGCGTAGGTTATTTTGTGGCACTAGGTACTGTACTGCCTCGTTGGGGAGACGGTTTTTTTATTGGGGGTGTGTATGTTTATACAGTCTAGAACTTGGTCTGCCTCAACGGGCGGCGAGTCTCCCAGCTGTAGATGAGAAATTTAGCCAGTGCTGTACAACCGCTAGCCTGGGGTCTTTAACGTGCATCACGCAGTAGTGGTACATGACCGCACGCCGGTACGATTCTCATCCAGATCGAAACGGGCAGGGGCGGGGATAGAGCTCAGGATCTTGGGTTCTGCAGCGCGAACTTGCGCAGAAGGTCGCGATCAAAGAAAACCGATAGAACTGACTTTTCGACAATTTCCAGTCACACCCGGCGGCAGAAATTAGCCTTCAACTGAGCGTTATAGATGATAAGTGGGCTAGCGCACTCGAGTCCGAGTGCGCTAGCCCACTTGGACACCGATCCCCCCTCGTTGGAGAGGCCGTAAGACAGCAAGCGTGCGGTCGTCTAACCATAGGTATAATTAAGAAAAGAAACTGGAAGCACTCTAACCAACTGGTTTAAATTTCCCGACGTTTCGCGGCCTGCTCGGTCGCTTGTTCACGGGTGACCTATTTGGCTGGGTGTTCGTCTTTCTCTTCTTCCCCTTGTGGCTGCCGTTAAAATCACCTTCTTCTCTTTGTGACTCCTCAAAGTCCGTGAATGTAGCTGCTTGGGAGGGTACCGATCGACCGGTTCAGGTTGTTCTTGGTATGTTAGATATGGCCAGGACTGGACGTGATGACTGAATGTCTTGCCCAGGTCAGGGCATAGATAAGGAAGGTGACGACGTTTCTGCGCCGCGATGCAGTGGTGGGTTGCCCGACGCCCGGCCCTCCGCACCAGGGCTACCTCGTGCACCGGACGCCCTCGTCGGCCGAGTACAAGTGCTGCAGGGACCACGTGTTCGCCGACACGCTGCGGGACACGAGGACGCTGCACTGCGTGGACGGGAACGCCTGGAACGACAGCGTGCCCGACTGCGTCTGTGAGCCCTCTCTCTCTCGGTTTGCCCTGCGACGCGCCCCTCGGCGGCCAGGCCAGCCCGTACAAAGGCAGCTTTGGAAGCTTGAGTGTACTCGAGCGCTTTGTTGCCTTCCCTGGCATCCAGTGGACGACACTGGCACCATCTATATCGGGTAACCCTGGAGTCGACCTGCGTATGCGTGGCTTGCACTGACGTCGCATCGGTGGCCATTGCGAAGTACCTTGCTGCTATACGCGCGTACCCTTCGAAGAATGTATTTCGCACAACCGAATTGGTTTTTTCGCTATGAAGCAGTAGGAATGACCATTGACGTGGCGTGTTGACGTTACGTGCGAGCCATGTGTAAAAAAGGTTTCTTCAGTATTTATGAGATTAAATCTACGCACTATTTATAAAGAATGATCATTTATTACTTTGCCAGAATTATTTCCGAGCTATCGGTGGAATAATGACACGTAAAAATTATTAAAATATATACGCGGTTGGGAAGCGCTTCAAGGCTACTTGTACACGGCGGCAGTGTGCTTGTGTATCCCGCCGTCGTGAGCATTCGAAAGGAAACGAAACGCGCTCGAGCACACTTAACTAAACACCAATGTGCGAAGCACCGTTATATGAATATTCATAAACGGGAACACTGACTGCCGCACCCTCCTTGGAATATTGGAGCAAACTCGCTGCAGTTCGTTTGTACACCCCAAGATAGAAAAGTCTCATGAAGTACACACGCCTGAAGCGTTCCCAGCCCATTCATTTATTCTTTTCTTTCCGTCATTGTTTACAAAGTGTTGCAAAAGATCTGAAACGGAACACATGCGAACTCGAACATTGTATCAACTTTTAGATTACAGATAAGCGTGATGCTCCCTGAGGAGCTTCCAGATTTCATACGTTGCTTGTACCTACGTCCTATGATGACGTCGAACGCCGGCCACCACCTTGCGGTGGTTGAGTCAAAGGACACTCCCAGCTGAAGCCTTGGTAAACCACGACGCGTTCGGCTGTTGCAATTATTACGTATATCCCGACGATATTTTGAACGACGTGCCCCGCGACAGAGTAGCCGTCAAATTAGAGGAAGTACCAGTGCAGATAAGCGATGCGGCCACAAATTGCTGAGTTTGCGGGACACATTTCGTAGCGGCGAGTGCCGAGAGTTTTCTAACGTTGTTTATGTTTGTGCACGCCCTTATATCGCGGCTTTGCTTGTTTTTTGTGCGAATGCCCTTTGTCTTTCATTTCATCACGCCATTTGCATACTTGGAGGGCACCTTCTGGCTTCCTTGCCGAGCACGGGAGAACGCGTCGCGCCGCGAGCCTGGCCGATCGGTCGGTGGCGGCCCCCGAGTGCACCGTCGAAGCGCCGGCTTGTGCTGTGCGCAACGCTGTTATCCTTCCATTGTTTACCAGCACTTCGCGAAATCAGGGCAGTCTTACTAGTTGCAAGAACTTTCATTCGCGGCTTCTAGAGCTGCTCGTCAAGTGATTTTTGCGTATTCCAGTGGTTTATACGCCTTGGAACTGTGTCAGGAATCTTGTTTTGCCGAGATAACCACCCTTCGCGTTAAAACACCGTCGGCGGAATGTCGGAACATTCTGCTCGTAGCGTAATCGCAGCAACACCGACAAAATTTCGGTCGAACTGTCTGAACGTCATTATCGTAAGCACTTTTTCTCAAATTTACGTATCAAAAACTATAGTCGGTGACAGGCTAAGAATTCAGTAAGCTCCGCCTCGAGCTTTCTGCCTTTGGTAACACTTCGTCCCACGCGAAGCCGAAGCCCGGTGAAAGGCAAAAAGCGCGTGCTGGAGGTGGCGCTTCCACTCAAATCTTAGCCTGTTATCGACTATAGGTACCTTCCTTGAAAATACTCTGGCCAGTGAGTGGCATCCTGCGCCTTGGTAAGCGGATATGCGCGGTGTGAAGTCAACCACCAGTATGGTGCGAGGCCCCGTTCTTTCATGACGTGACGTCACCTGCAAAGCATGTGACTCGGATCTTTTGATCAATCAATCAATATTTGTTTGCGCAAGAAAAAGAAAAGCCGGTACTTGGGAGGTGAGCGCGCGGCAAGTAGAAAAGTCGGAAAATTCCTTAAGGTGGAGGGCGTGCGAGCCGATCTCTCGCTCTTAATTTATTCGAAAACATTCAAATAATCGAGAGCGTTAAGCTTTATCGTGCGGCGGGTCGCTGGCGTGATGAGAATAGTAGGGTGTTTCTTTCGGGTGGGGCCTCCAGCCACCTACGAGACAAAGCCGTCATTACTAGCGGATCCAGGCATCGGCGCCTAGTTGGTGGCAGCATATAACTGCCAGCGCATCTTGCAATGTCTCGCAACAAAGGCGCCGCTAGCATGCGGCGACGCCGCGACAGACGCTCCTGTCACTTTGCGGCGGCTCTCCTCGGCCTTCAGCTTGTTTACTGATCAGGGATTCACTATCGATGACGTCGTGCGCAGGCCTTGCCTCGCAGCTGGCATTGCTACACTGTGCGCTCATTGCCTCCCGCTGTGTTTCGGCTGCGCGCTCGAAGCTCACCAGAAGTACGAGTGTGATCGAAGAGATCGAGCTAGAGGCGACTAAGATACCTCCTTGCCGTTCTCAACCTGCCAGAGACTAAAGGTCTTGACTGAAATGTTAATGAGTGGACAGGTCGGTACCTTATTAGGGGGCCTAGCATGCGTGTCTGTCTAATCTGTCACAGCGGGATCGTTCCGTGCATCGGAACGATCCCGCAGTGGCAACGTCGCACGTCCTAAGTGGCGACTCGTCGTGCTGCCGGCGGTCGCAATCCCGTCGCTTGGCTGTCCGAGCGTCGGCGAGAAAGGTGACCGGAGGCAAGCGTCGCTACCGCGGCGCCACGCAAACGTCCCAGCCTGTGGCTGCCAACATTGTGGCGTCATCGGTCGGAAACCAAGGAGAAGGCGATAAACACAGCTGTCGAAGAGGCGTTTCAGGCAGCATAGTACAATGGATCGGCTGATATGTTTAGCTCGCCCTGTCTGGCATGACCCACTCGACAAAGATGGCTGTTTTCCTACGAAACAACAGCAAAAATCTAGTGCATATGTACCTATATGACCCATATCATAAAATACCTTATAAAATATTCGTATGAACAATATCTGAAAATTAAGTAGTTTCATCAATAAACTTTATGAATTTAAGGCACACAAAACATTGTCGGCTGTTCTGCGCCGACAATCTTTCCTGTATTTATTTTGTATGTTTGTCAGCTGCCGTGCGCAGAGAAAATATAACCTGTTGGCAAAAGAATAAAGCCAAGTGGAAGAAAACAGTGTCATTGATTTGTCCTCCGACAGGCAAAAGGTGGTAGACAACCACGGCCAAACTCGAAATTAATATCTGCGTTCTTCATTCAAAAAAAAGGAATTAATATAAGCTCTCGTGCGATATTTTTATCTGGCATTAGAGGATATGGTTTATGCGGCTTTTTGTCGACAGAGCAGTCTGATCTTTCTTTTTTATGAAATACGCACCTATGCACTCCTTTAGGGCCGCATGCACACTGAGCGTCCTCCCCGGCTGCGTAAACATCAACAGGGGGGAAAGGAAATAACCACCAACCAATATCTGAATGTGAGGTGGCCCGACCTTCAACATTATATCGCTTTCTTTTTCAAGTGGCACTGTGACCGTTGAACCACAGCAGCTTCTTCTGAGAAACCGAGTTGGCTTTAAAACGTTGTGCTTCGCCACTACTAGGGGTGCGTCGGTGGTTATTTCCTTGTATCTCAGTTTGAGCCCAACTAAACACGTCGAAGATGTTTCCGTTAAAAACTGAACAGCGGTTTCTCTGTGCACGTGGTCGTCAGCCCGGCTCGAGCTGGCCCTGAACGGCACCCTGCTAGCCGCCGAAGACGACCCCGGGGCCAGTGACCAGGCGCTCAAGCATCGGAGCGAGATGCACCTCAGCCGTCTGGCGGGTAAGCCCTCCTCCGACTAAAGGCTGGTGACGGCCTAAGCGCGGGGCGAGTCCCAATGATCCTATATGGTGGCATCCAGCCGGCTTGTGGCATTAGCCCACAGGACCGGAGCGTGAACACAAGAAGCCCTGTTTTTGTTAAGCGTTTACGGACTATAGGAACCGACAAGGGCGTACACGATCAACGATGTACAGAACGCGGCACTGTTAGCACGAACAAGCGATCGCCGGTTCTCTGCGTTTTTCTTTTAGAACCGAAAGGTCGTCATCAAAGATATCATTGTTATAGAAAGAGCTCATTTGGGGCTCTAATATAAGGGGTAAAATTGTGTGCCCACTAATACTCTTTCCTAACAAAATGCGAAAAGCCGCCGATGTCGTGTTCGCGCTAACAGTGTCGCCATGTGTACATAGTGCGACACTTTGAGCATGAACGAGCCATCGACTGTCTCTTATCTTTTTTTTTTTTTCTTCTTAAGCTATGAAGTCTTTTTCTTTCTTTTATTAAAACTGCTTGTGTAGTAGAACGTGTGTATTCTATTCGGGGCACCAAGATTAGCGGCAAAGTGTGTTTGTCGTCAGGCCCCTGTCTGAGTAAAATGCGAAAAAGCGCCGATGTCGTGTTCAAGCTAACTGTGTTGCGCAGTCTACGTTTCTGATGGTTGTGCGCCAGTAAGGGGTATTGCCTCGACGCCAAGAAGGAGGCCTTAAATGCTATCGCATTTAGAGGCCTCCCCTTGACGTAGAGGATGACCGCCATGCTCACAATCTTGCACGCGTGTGACCGGATTGCATGCTCACAATCCGGTCACACGCGGCCATCTCAGGGAATTCTTCAGAGCGGGACACTGAGTGAGGAAGGTCAGCCATTTGAGGCCGTGACTCCTCTCTCTTCAAGTGTTAGTACGCACCGATCCCCAACTCTTGCTCCCGCTGTTCAGCTGGAGGAAGAACCCTATATAATTGGTGCCTGACGTCGGGCGCCAACCATATAGGATTCTTATCTGATTCTCCAGATCCCTGTCTCCGCATGAACGTAACACATCAAGGCATACCTCTCGGCAGAAAGGGTTTATTCCATCTTCTGCTTAGGAGTTTCGGGATGGAAAAACGTAATCGTGGAAGCCTGGGAGGCGTGCGCCACCACTTTATATTACCGATTATCTCAATTGTGCTAGTCCACACCGCACCCTGGGGATGTGTTCGTCGAAGGTCAGGCCCGGGGTTATGTCCGAACCATATCACTGGGCCGTCGGCCAAACGTCGCGGTCGCCGCAAACGCGAACGTCCGCCGTCGCCCCGTTCCTTCGCAAGTGTCTCCTTCCTACCCTCCGTTATCTGTCCTTTTGTACTCGCAAGAAGACTTTCCAGTCATGCGATGCTGTGGCTAAGCAGGGGGAGAATCTGGATGTGCACCGATGCGCTGATCGCGACTGCCGAACTTGTGCTGGGCCAGGACCCACAGTGGTTATTCCATTATACTTCGGTGTGTATCGCCGTTGCACGCCTATCACACCTGTTTGAAGATTATCCCCGAACAGTGACGCGGTAACCTCTGGTACGCGGTCAGACGCTGCGGACATAGCCTCGTAAAAAGGTCGTCCAATGAAACTTGCTTGGCGCACCATCCGGCATATCAACACGTTGTCCCCTTGACCTGGCCTCAATAACCGATACCATTGAACACAGGCCTCTCGGGGTGGTGGTTATCCACCCCGATGACGTTGCGCTGCGCAGCATAGTCGTAGTTTGCTTGCAGCAAGTGTAGCGAACGATGTCTACGTGAATCTGCGTAATGTTAGTTGGTACTGCTTGGCGGCAGGTTTTATTTGGATGGGTATTGTGAATCGCAGGCTCGCGAAGCAGGATTTGTGTGTATTTCTGCCGTGCAGCCCGTTATCTTTTGTTTTGATATTTTGTTCTTTCCTGACCAATAATTTATATCCGTGAGGGAAGTGGATCCTGTTGCCAGAGCTGCGTTTCTCCAGCGTTCTGGTAGATTATGTCTCATTTCAAAAGAAACTAATTGAACTGTTTTGAATAAGGGCAATATTTGTTTAAAGGCTGTATACAATTCGATAACAGTTGGGTGTTGCTGCATGTTTTGTTGAGTTGAGTAATGCATTTATCATTGGGTGCGTTTTCAATGGGTGGAGTGACGTTGATGGTGAGTGTATGCCGCTCGGTATTGGCATGAAGATCTGTGTTTGTATTTTGTGCCATGCCAATTGAGCTGAAGATTTGGCTTCGTCACGCTGTCTGATATTCAGTGCCGCGATTTGTTTACGTGTTTACTGCTGTCTGAACTATTTGGGTGGAAAGGACTTTTAATATTGCTCTATTGTGTGCGCCTAAGTGCCCGTGCGTTTTTAGAGCTGTGGTGCTCTGAGACAGTTTCTTAGCTGTGCGACGCCGGTTCGAGCTTTCCAGCGAATGAACGTTCCCCGTGGGCCTGCCTCGCTTGACACCCTCCCCGAAATAATCAGGGGCGATCACCATTACCGATGACGCTCAGCTGAGCACCAGCACAACATCTGGGTCAGCTGCGCCACCTTCACTTCTAACCTTCAGGACCCCCGCGCCTTGGCTTAAGGGGGGATGGTGTGGTGTCTCGTTGGCCTCATCTGGTCGACAACCTGTCAAGGGCGTCCAGGGACTTGCAATCGGTGGCCTCCATAGCGAACACGGTGCCTTTGGTGTCTGTGTGCCTTACACAGGACGCATCTGGAGGACAATGGCGCCCACTGCGGTGGACATCTGTGGGCCCCTCTCCCGGAGAGCGTCGGCGCTAGGGCGAGCTCCGACGGCACACCGCCCACATTATCGACAGAGGCACCCGTCCGTCTGACGCGCGGCGGATGCGCGAACAAAGCGGAAGACACTGGAGGATGGACGACGGAGGATTGTGAGGAGACTTGCGCGTGAACGGGGCGACAGCGGACGTTCGCGGTGATGGCGACCGCGACGTCGGGGTAACGGTCCAGTGACATGGTCCGAACTTCACCTCGGACCGGACCCTCGACAGCGAGGTTCCCAGGTCGTGGTGTGGACTAGCACAGCTGGGAGGATCAACAGCATACAGTGGTGGCGCTCCCCTCCCAGCTTTCTCGATGACCTTTCCCGCTCCCGAAACCCCTAAGCAGAATGTGGGTGCAGTGAGTCCTTTATGTTGAGAGCTATGCGTTGCTGTGTCACGTTCATCCGGAGGCAGGGGTCAGGGGAATCGGAAAAGAACCCAACAGGCTCAAACGCCTTTTCTGTATGTGTGAACACGATGTTTGAAAAAATTACATCGTTTGTTCGTGAACTGGGGACTTTCGTATAAGTAGCATGACTACCATCTTCCACGCTCATTCAGCGTTGCATTACTTAGAGAAATCTACAATTACTTTTTTTATTTATTTATGTTTGCCATGGCGCATAGTATCGATCGTAAAAGTGAATTCTTGTTTTCTGGAATTAGTTGAGGAAATGGAGCAGGGTGCGGACTACTTGTCCAACGTTGTAAGTGTGGCAGCCTGTTAGGATGAATGCTCACCCACCCACGAAGGCGCTGAACGGTCACTTGAAGGCCCGGACACGTCTAGAGAAGGTATTTGAGATCCGCCCTTACAAAAATATTGCCGCCCGCAGCGTCGATAAAGAAACGCTCGGTCACGGACTTCTAGAGGATTCGCATTCATTCTCGCACCTGACGTAACTTTCCTCCTGCTTTCGTGTTCTCGAAAGTGCCAGTTCATCCTCGCCCCGAGCGCGCGACGCTCGAACTTTCTTTGCCGAACTTTTGAGATAGTGACGCACGGTAGATAAGCAGCTGCCCGCGACCTTGTCGAGTCAGTCTCGCTAGCGCTCTGTAGTGCCGCCGAATCGCCGCCCGCTTTTCTGCTGCCTCGACGCTCTTTCGTTACTTATTTTTGGTTGGCACAAGTTCGCCAATTAAACCTTTATCCTTCAGTTCACTGTTTGGCTTCTCGTCACCTCCATTCGTGACATTTCTGGTGGAGGTGCGGGATACGCTGCACGGGTTTCACACCCCGTGCAGCGTACCCCGCCTCCATTCGTGTCAATATTTGTCCCCTTTCTACATAATGTCTGTGGAGGCAATTGATATTCTAAAGAAAATGTGTTTATTTTTCTACCCACTGGTCATAGCTTTTTGGCCGCTTTCTTTTTGTAGTTTCTCTATATAACAAAGTGTAGAGATTAGATAGAAGTTGTATAGAGATCAGATATAAAATCTATCAACCTTTCTATCCCCTTTCTTCAGACAAATGACCGGTTTTTTCGGAAAAATTATTCAGTAAATTCCTTTTGATAATACATCCATGGAAACATGAACTTATCACTTGCCATATGCACATAGGCAGACATCAAAAATAGACGCGCCACGGAGCACAGTTAACACTAATAATTCAGTGATGTTGACTGCTCCACCGTCGACATACAGTACACTTGAGAGGCAATCATTTGAACAAGAACTCCCCCCTCCCCAGAAGTTAAAAGGATTACAAGTATGTTCCTTTTTCTTGCCAATATCACACGAAATGTGGTTTCTAAGGGTTGGTGAACTGTATTTTTAACAACAAAATATTGCAAGAGGCGATAATTATTTGACACATATAGTCGGAAAATCAGCCCCCTCAAGGATGTTCTCACTGGGTGTGATGTGCTTTTCCGTGCTGTGTCTTTTTAGTCTATCATGTATATTCTATAGAAGATCTATAGACATAATGCGACAAAAGTCAATTGAGGCATAGGGATAAAAATTCTATGGCATTTCTATCATCTTCATTCTATACACTTCAGTTAAAAGAAAGTCTGTGGAAAATGTTTTGAAAACGGTGCATATGACATGACTGGATAGAAAGTGGAAAGATTCGTTAAACTGTGGATAGGATTTTTATAGACTGCCTGAAATATTTCTGTAAAGGCGCCTCCCTTCCTGCGGCGGGGCAGAAGGAACACAAGGTAGATGTCGTGGTGTGAATCCGTCTGGAGCGGACAGCGGGTGTAATCGCCGCATTCACATGAACTCTTCGGAGCGAAACCTGTTTTAGGCAGGTAAGACCGCCAGGAAGTTGGAACCACACGGGTGAATAAGAGCTTGTGTGGTGCCCTATAGAGTCTCCTTCGAATTACCAGAGTATCCGTTGTCGGAAATTTAAAAATATATAAGAAGGAGCAGGTAAAAGTGACACATACTTTGAGTGTCTCACTTAATGCTCCTGAAGTATTGTATTCATTAAAACCACAAAATTCCGCCAATCTTCAATAGATAACATAAATACCTTCTCGCATTTATGTTGTAGACATCCTGGTCCCGTGCCTAATCATGGGAGGACTCCTTCTGGGAAACGCAGTGGTCGTCCTGGTGATATTCAGGTTACGAAAGTAAGTAAAGGATCTGTCTGCACTCCTCTCGGCTTGACTGTGACTTGCATTTGGGGGCATGCAATAAAGCGTATCGCGGGCGAAATAATGTTCGAACGCTGGTTCTGATCTACGAGTCAAGGACTCTGAGGAATGCCTACGTGCTTACTTCCCTGCAAAGAATGGTTATCAAGGAGCCGAAGCGAGGACGAAGGCAGAAATACGATGAGACGCAGAAATGCGACGTGCGGCTGCCTACTCCGCATGGAAGAGCGCCTTTAGAGCGCGCGACACTAGAGCGCCGATGGTAGAGCGCACGACACGAGGGTGCTGCGAGAGTAGCGCGCTTGACATTAAAGCGCACGACACGAGAGCGCACGACCAGTTGAGCGAACACCGCAAAATGTACGATGTACCTGCGGCTCCAAAGACAGAACAAAATTGTGTGACTTATGGGATCGGAACGTTGGTGATTTTTGATTGATTGAATATGCCTTTCACCAAAAATTAAACCAAAACGGGTGCGACTCTTTCTAAGAAATCAAGCCATTCTTCTGAAGTTCAACGATAATATACACGATCAAAAACGTAGCATCAACGGAAAGCAAAGTGCGGACAAGCGCGTTCTAAATGTGAACCTCAACAAAACTTCCACCCGAGTTTCGAATGTTAAAGTTATATTGATTGCTAAATTTCGAAGGCGAGCTTTTTTTCGCACCCGTGGGTTTTCCGGTGAAATTCTTTCCGCTGCCCGTTTTCAATAGGGTGTCAGACACAAAGGTGAATTAAACACCATACAGTGTCCCTTACCTCATGTTTCAAACGGAGAAGCTTTGCTAGCAGAAACCAGACTGATTGAAATGCAAGATTTTTTCTGGAGCAGAATGTTTGTGGAAGCTTTGAGACTACTGTGCCTGCCGCACCGGATGCTGTCGGTCTCGCCGCAGCGCTTTACCCCTCTGCTACGGTGATATCAACGCATATTTCTTTTTCATTGTCGGCACAGATTGCCAGATTAAGCATTTGGTACAATTGTCATTTGTCACAATATGAATGGTTGGCGTGTGACACCTGGCACGAGAGCTCCTTTCCCGAAATTGATCTTGAAACCCCCATAATGCAGGGAAGCATGCTACATGTTGCTTCTTTCCTGTTGAACGTTTTAAAATAATATAAAATAAAAATTAGTGAGGTCTGTGGTAGGCTTTATCAATTAAAATCAAAGAACTAATGAAGCTAGGTCAGCTGCAATGTGTTTTGTTTTGTTTTTTTCTGTGGAAATGGACGCCACAAATATTCAGTCCTTTTTTTCTGCTTTCCGCTTTTTGTAACACTTGATTTGTCACACGCAAAACTTTTGTCGACTCATTCGCAATGTCCTTGCTGAATGCCGCGGCGTAAATCCCCGCCAATTCCACATAAAACACGCGATGTCCGAACAAGTGGTCGGTCGGGTCGGGCCACTCGCGCAGGACTGGTTGTGCGCTCTCCGGGCGCTCTAATGACACGCGTGCTAACGTCGCCGCGCTCTTGAGTCGCATGCTCTAACGTCGCGACGCTCTCGTGTCGCGCGCGCTAACGTCGTGACGCTCTACTGTCGGCGTTTAATGTCGGCGCTCTAGTGTCGTGCGCTCTCTCCGCATGCTTAGAAGGCTCCAACCTAGAGTTTGCCGCAATGATTGACTCTTGCGTCCTCTGCAGGTAAGTTAGCATACTGGCGATTTTGAGGATATATGTTTTAATTCGGTGGTTCTCAACCATCGATGTTTCGCGGACCCTTTGTGGATCGCCGGAAATGATGGAGGACGCCGTTCGTTGTGAAGAAAGGGGAAAGGTATAGGTTAAATATGATAATGATTTATTAAATGGATATGACTGAGGGCTAGTGTGAAGTAAACTTCACTTATTGACATACGCACGAGAAAACTCGCCTGAAAATTGTAACATTTCTTAGGGATCTGAAAAAAAAAAAGACAACTTTTATTGCCGGCCTTTGCAGATAAGGCAGTGCTTCGCGGATTCCTAGGATGCCTTCGCGGACCCTGAAAGGTTCGCGGACTCCCACTTGAGAACCACTTGTTCAAGCAACTTTAATTGAGTGATTGATTGCAAATACGTTTATTTGTGCATGTCGGATACAGCCATTCCTCTTGCCCTATGGTTAAAGAGGTGGGAGTGTGGGGTTGAGGGAACAGGGAGTGATGTGTTAGATAACCAGGCACAGGTTAGCTTGATGGATTAGTGAGTATGAGTCTTGGTAAGCCTTGGTCTAGTGCTGCGCTGGGCCGGGTGGACGAATCCATTACTCGTACGAGGTGGGAAGCTGCTGTGGGTTGATTGAAGCAGACAAAAGTTTACGCGTGTTTTCGTTTTGCCGCGACAAGTTAAAGTTGTTCGAGCGCTTGTCGACTTTGTTTAGCTATATACAATGCACGATTATACGGTGTTTTTCTGCGAAGTATAGCTAGAAAAGGAAAGTGTACAGACGTTACAGGTGATGTTTTGCTGCTTCTTTGTGCATATTAACGCGTCACCGGTGATATGGGTCCATCGGGAGCTCCAACTTGGACCCATAGAGTTATTATAATATGCGCCAAAGGTTCAACTGGCACTAGTGCCTTTATAACTTCCGGGATGCAAACTGAAGCAGACACCAACCAGTTTAATTTTGCTGTGCTCCGCATTCCTGTGAAAAAACGCGCGTACATTTTGTATCTTTGCCATAGTATAAGAGTGATAACTTTTGTCATTTAGGTCGCACCAAATGGAGTACCTTTATTAACATTGTAAAAGTGTAATTGCTTTAGTTACAGTATTTTTCTAAATCACTGAAAGATGTTAAACTTCGCTATATTTCAGACCCAAACCTGTGTTCCGCAGAAGCTTGTGTGAATACGAGGGATGAATCTAAGCAAAATAACAATCGAAAGGAATGTAGAGTATGTTCAAGGTTCGCCGGCATCCTGGTGACGCCTATATCTTGCTAATATGCCAGTCTTGTCACGTATATTAAAACTACCCCATGGTGCATCTCTACGAGCGGTTAAAAATATTAAATTCGTACAAAAAAAATAAAGTACGTGATCTATGAGAGCTGTCTTTTTTTTATTATTTCCTATGCCAGGCAGCTTTTATCGTGCACCTGTTTTCTGGCTTCTCTCCATTTGCAAAGATCTCGAGCGCGCTAGTTATGATTTGAACGCCGAACAAGCACCTTCGCCTATATGCACGGGTCGAGAAAATAACGCAATACTTATTGCAAATATATTAACTTGGCATTCACTTTATTTTGTTCGTCTACATGCACAAGGAGTTATTGATCCAGTGTTACTGCGTAGTTCCTGCCGCCTCTCGGTTTTCCACATGCCCTTCGTTCGCCTGGTACCTAACGTCCACCATCCAGAAAAGCGCCGACGCCGTGTTCGCGCTAATAGTGCCCGACAGCGCATATAAATACAAGTATGACGCTGTTTTAGCACTGTGTTTAATCACATGAATTTTTCAAAAAAAAAAAAAAACACTGTAACCAACCAATATTTTTATTTACCTGATTGAGAAATGCTCCAAAGATTATTATACAAACTCTATGGTGTACACCTGAAGTTGTTGGTGGGAGTTGGTAAGTGAGAGCAGGATATGGTTGGTGGCATGAAGAATCGCGTCGAGTAGGACCTTGAGTTCAGCCCCCTTGGCTGAGTGCAAATTGGCGAGCTGGTTATGGCTGAATGTAGTGTTTGCGATGTACCCTGCATTGGCGGGGTGATGCACGCCGTCATGTGCTGCATCCGTGTAGGTTTGTAGGGTAGTATGATTCTGCCGTGAATCACCGAGCTCGTTCACGTGCGCTTGCGCTGCATGACGGCGGCGGTCAGCTGCCGTAGCAGGGTTCGCGTTCCTTGGGAGGGGGTGATGGTCGTCGATGTTCATGTCTTCCATCAGAGGGGGTATGGTGGCATTTGATGATATACTTCGTTTCACTTGAAGTGTGAGCGTAGCAGAAGCTACAAGAGCGAGATCCAGGCTTTCGGCGGCCCTGCCAAGCACGCCCGCTCGTACAATGCAAGTACTGTTCAGGATCACATGCTCACGCTTGTAGCATCGGCTGCGTCTGGACTTTGAAACGAAGTACTATAAGGGGGTTATGTTGTACACTATATGGTGAAGTATGACTTTTCCCTGGGAAGTGAAGCGTGTTAGTTTAGCCTCTCAGAGTTGCTGAGTCGTCCAGTTGATTGAGGTCAGAGAGCTGATAGAAATATGAAATTAGGGTCATCTTGGGCAGACCGGTGACAACGCGCATCACTTCTCGGTTGATGATTTCTGGTTCGTTCCACGGGGAGCGAGTGAATTAGAGGCAATTAACGGCGTAGAGGACCTTGGATGTAAGAAATGCCTATACAAAGGTGTGGACGACTTTGTGGCGCCCCATGTCTTTGTTGTAACTCTGCAAACCTGGGGGTACGTTTGTTTCCGGATGAGTGTGAACTTTTTTTGCCGTGTTGTAGCACCCCCGTCGGCGTTGATGAACGCGTTTAGTATGCAGAAAGAGTCAGTGGGCTGAATGACTTGTCCGTTGAAGGTCATGGGAATGGATTTGGTGGGTGTGTTTTATAGTCTACCTTAAACGATACGTCATGCTCAAAATTTGAAGCCGAGGAACTGGCTATCGCAAAGCACCAACATTTTCTCAAAGCCGAACTTGAAGCTCCCTCACGAGTCAATGACGTTTGTGATAAAATTCTGCATGCTTTGCTTTTCTATACAACTTTCTCCCGGAAGTGTCGTTTAACTTTCTCACATCGATCGCGGGTGTGCGTTCCTGCCAACGGCGCCCATCTTTCGCTTCGTGCATGCCATGTCTCCTTTCTCCGCGTGTAGACGCCGCCTCACTTTTCAATTTCGATTTCTTTTTGGGCGGTGTTCCACTAAGGCAGAGAGCTCATACCTTTGTTATATTTCGAGATCAGCGGTTTAGAATTGTTACTAAATATACTGAATGAGCGTCGTTAATAATTGCTGCAGACACACAAATTGCCGAACGTCTAAACATCTCTCTACGTCTATGTCATTCCCAACACAAAGCCAAGAAGAGTCTGACGGGGGACAAAGACAGTGATTTTCAGGGGCGCCTACGCACGCTAAATTTTTTCCCTTTTTCCTCGTGCATGTTTTTTTCTTCTTTTTTTTTATGGAGAAGCATTTTTATTGGTGAGGTTCAGCAGTGGACCCCCGGGTGTGTTTCATGTAGGTTCATCGTCCACTTGCCCACGCCACGTCATGAACCACGTGACGTCACAGTGCCCCGTTACGTCATGACGTGACGTTACGTGGAACCGCGACGTTTACTGAAAAAATGTTCGCGCTAAACCGGGCGGATACGTTTTTCCTAAATTTAGCTGAGAAATTCACTCTTTAAATTTACTGGTGAAATGCTTCGTGCAATTACCCGCCATGACGCTAAGTATAGCTGAAAATTTTATCTTCTAAATATAGCAAGAAAGTGTTATTTTGACTCTCTCCTTTTCCTATTTTTGTCGTTTTCAAGTGTCAAAGTGTATTTTAGTTCTCGTCTACTCCCCCCCTTATGTAATGCCCCACCCGGGCCCTTAAGGATAAATAAATGAAATGAAATAAATGAAATGTGTGCCGGAGGGTGCGCAACGCCTCGACTGTTACCGCAGTTAATTTAACGGCAAGGAATCGGCAAAATTTCTCCTTACACCTTAAAGCGTTTGAGGCACACAAAATTCTCTGATGTTGGGGCTGTCAGTGCCAACCACTTAGTTTTCAAGAACGTGTGAGTTAAAGAGGCCGTGCAACAATATTGGGTAGGAATGTTTCACACTTCACACAAGTTCACACAAGAATAATCCAACGCAACGCCACTGACCAAGAAGTGTCTTTGTCGCGGGGGAATTTGAAGTATAAACACGGCCGTTTTCCGCGTCGGCCGCGTCGTTTGCCCAACGCGCGCCTTGTGGTTTGCCAACCTCACCGCATGGCTATGTTAAAATATTGGTAGCATTTAATCGGCTCCAGATCGCGTGGCCACTTCTGTTAAGATCGAAGCTTGGTCGAGTTGGTGATAAAATTGGCCGCTTGTGTTTTGTGTATGTGTGTGTGTGTGTGTCTGTTTTTTTTTTGTTTTTTTTTTCTTTACAGTTGAGGGCAAAACACCGTTCGTTTCCCTCGAATTTGTTTTGTGATTGCCGATGTGGAAAGAAACCAACGCGTGTTTCATAGGTTATGAATGTCAGACATATTCTAAGCGGTATTTCTTAATATAAAAATAATATATTTGCATCGCCCCTTTCAACGTATCGAGCTCCTAGCCTGTGTAAGTCGGGAGCATTGTACGTATAGTGACGCACATGTACCGCTGTCACGCAGGCGAAGGATCGCCAGGCTCAGGGCACGCCTTCCAACCGTGGCCCTGCTCGCCGACGGGGAATCCAAGGAACCGCCGCCGGCGCAGAGACCGCAGGCGTAGACGAATCCGCCACTGCCACTCGAAGACCCCGAAGATCGCTTACGCCTGAGAGTCAACAGCTACCAGTGACGCCGCTACCGCTATTTATTGAGATTATCTACGAACGTACACACGCACACAGATACACACTATTGTACATATAGACACATATGTTGGAAACATTGAACACGTCGTCTTTAGAAATACGAGGGACTCAAGTGCACATTGACACGTGTGTGGCTTTATGTTCACTACTGTGTGGTTACGCTTTGTGACGACCTTAATTACTTTCAATCCCAGTAATGTCTATGGTCCAAAAAACATATACGCGTCTGCCACACGGAAGAGCACGTGATAAGACAGTGGTTTGCTAAACACCCCAGGGTTGAAAGGAACGCTTGCAAAGGCCATCCGCGCAGCACGACTTGGCATTTGCCCGTCGCATATTACGACTTTTGCCCGTCGTAATATGCTGGACGCCGTTTTATATTGCTACGATCTATCTATAGCATGCTCTGGGTGCTTGACGCGCCTATATTTTTAGAGTGTAGAGCACTGGTCTACACTCTACTGCCGTTTCACTGTAAACTACTGCCGTTTCACTGTAAAGGCCCGACCACACTAGCGGCACGGTAGCTTGCCGCTTACCCTTTGCAGGACGTCGGGTGCTGCACAGTGAAATGACGCCAATCAAATACTGCGCCGATAATAATGCCATGACACCGTTCAGCACTTTGCCGGCGGTACATTCTAAAGGAGCGTAGCTCAGCAAATCAGCGTGGCTCTTTTAAGCGTCCCCGAGTACGGCCATGCTAGCGGAACGGCGGCTCGCGGCACGCGCCATTTGCCTCACACCAGGTGCTGCCGAGATCTGTTTTGCCGCAAGACGGTAAGATTTCCTGCCGTCAATAGAATGGTCTGTGGAGGATTATTGTCTGCCGTGCCGCACAAGAAAAAGGACCAGTGAGAGGCGCCGGTTGTCTGACGTAGTGATGTCATGCGCGCGCGCAACCGCCAAGAGCCGCACTTTCACTTTCAAAACTAGTGACCGCGGCTGTTGTCATGAGCTATACTAGCCAGTCCAACGCTAAAAGCGTTGCATGTGACCTCGCCCTTGGTGCGTTATCTTGGGACCCACAAGTCCTAGCAAACTTTGGTATGTGCTTGGTGGCATTCGAAGGAAGCTACAAAAACGACAATGTCGGTTAACCAGTGTAAATAATTCACAATTGTCTCATCCAAAATTGTTTTAATTCCTCACTCTCAAAAGCCCTCATCTCTGAAACGCAGCCGCAGCAGCAACGCACGATAGCCTGCCCCTCGATATCTCAATGGCGCCAACTGGATCCAACTCAGAACTTGCGTCTTCTTGCCTTTCGTGCTCGATGGCGTCTCAGAGTCAAAGAACAGAGTAGACTCACCACCTTCACCGTTGCCACTGGATGATCATCTACACCCCCCATAACTCGCACAAGGGGATGAAAAAACAATCCGGCGTTTCGAAAGAGGTTGATGACAAGCCCGAGCGAAACAACCAAGCAAAAAGAAGAAGCCAAAAAAAAAACTATCTATGGACGGCAGAAAAAGTACGGGAAGCGTCGCGTATGGCTCGATGGCTTGCGTGCAATATCAGGTAGGCCGAAAGAGCATCTGTTCTTAAGCGGTGTCGCATGACTACCGCGACGCAACATCAAAACGGTGGAAAGTGTGGCCTTTTCACTGCGGGATGCCTCAGCGGCATGCCGTTACGGCACACTTGCCGATAGTATGATCGTGCCTTTACTTGGCTTTACTACACATAGAAAGAAAAAAAATCAAAGGAAACTCCCAAGCCTACGGAGCATCGTTACACTCCCAGTACGACAGGAATACCCAAGTGCCCTACGCCGTTATATATGCTCCCTTGGTGAAAGCTAGCTTGCGAGCGCACCGCAGGAATATACTCGCGCCGCCATGGCAGTTCAAGGTCAGTTCCCTCATACAGCGCGGTACTATCCCAGTGCTGAGTCAGGGCTGGAAACAACACTACAAACTTTTAGTACTCCCCATTCTAGAGCTACGGTTTGCTAGCGGGAGCTCGTGCCGTCCCTTTGATGCATGAATTGAGCACGCGCCTGCTGGGTCCGTTCTCGCAGCATACGATCTACTAAAACTCTCTATAGACGATTTCAAGCAGGGCATCTCGCCGACGCCATGTCTTTGGGCCCGTTTTCAGCGGCGTATGATCTACTTCAACTCCTAATGGGGCACCATCAAGATTCACTGGACGCCATATTTGAGAGATATGGTTAGAGCGCCTGCTTAGAAAGAACTCAAATTAATAGGCTGCTAAGACAGCCAATCTTGATGGTGCGGAATGCACGTTGCAACAACTGTGGAAGCTCGCTGTCAGCACGCGCTCATCATTTGCGCACACGGGTACGGCCGCCAGCGAATACTCCGAAGTATTCGCTGGCGGCTGTAGCTGTGTGCGCGACTGCTGAGCGCGTGCTGATGTTGAGCTTCCACAGTTCTGTTGCAACGTGCATTCCGCACCATCAAGATTGGCTGTCTTAGCAGCCTATCAATTTGAGCTCGTTCTGAGCATGCACTTTAACCATATCTCTCAAATATGGCGTCCAGTGAATAGAGTTTTAGTAGATCACACGCCGGCGGAAAGCGGGCCCTGCGGGCGCGTGCTTAATCTATGCTTCAAAATGACGGCACGGGCCCCCGCTAGCAAAGCGTAGCTCTAGAATACGGTACACTGAAAGTCCCTATTATCTAGGTTCTGAACCGCATCTGAGGCATCTAAGGTTGATCCTCATATGCAGTTCGGAGCTACCACTAATGTAGTGTTGATGAAACATTGAGTTGACGCTGGAAACAGCGCTCCTCTCTAAAGGTTCCGTACCACCGATTATACGGACGCACTGAAAAACTCTCGTAGGAATACCACATGCTGACACTCCTCTTTCTGTTAAGCCCACTCAGCTCCGTTTGCTTGCGTTATGTTACGAGAGCTCACTTAAGTCGAGTCACCGGGACGTCCGTACTTCGTGTGAAGCGTTTCAGGCAATTCAAGAAGTACCTTTGCACACGGAATACGAAGCACGGATGTCTAGGTGATTCGCAGCGTAACGTAAAAAATAAACTTAAGTAAGCGCCCGTGTGATTGAGCCTTTACATGTACTGCCAGCAAAGCAAGGAGGATAGCTTCCTGGGTTTGATCCACGGTTTGATCGCACCTCGGCTGCACGAAAGCTCGAGCAAACGGAGCAGCAGTTAAGGCTACGCTCTCACGCTTCGCAGTGCACAAGCGCGTTTTGCAACCCGCCTCGGTCGAAGATAGTTTTAGCTAAAGTAACTGCATCTTGGGAAAGTAGCGCCATTACCTTCTTCGCCTGCTAGCCGGACACAAGCAGAGAAGACGCTAACGACCAAACTTTGCAAGGTTATTGGCTGCTCGCTCTCAGTTGCCATGGCAGTCGCCATTCCGGTTCATTCAAATCGTGAAAGCTTCGAAAGGGTCGTTCTGAACCAGTCGCGCCAAGATAGCTATGGAGCATCATCGTACTGGAAGCGTTCCTCGCCAATACAAGCGTGTTTGGCACTGTGCAGGCAATCAACTTATCAGTCATGCTTATCTCCATAGGTCCCTTGCAATGGGGGTGTTCGTGCTTAGTTCAGGACTAGAAAATTATATTTCGATGCCGCCAAACAACGACGTCGCATGTGGTGGCAGTACGAAGATATGCGCTTGTTTCGCCGGTGTGTTGATAACGAAATCTCTATATTAAAGGAATTCCTTTATACAGAAACCTGGAGAGGCCAGGAGAGAAACTACTCATTCCATGAATCATAATAGCGACTATACGGGGAGCTTGGCATTACTTTCCCAGGATCAAGTGACTTTAGTTTTAACCATGTTAGTTTCACTCTGTTGAACTTTAAAAGGACCACAAAATTATTTTAGAGTTGGGATCTATGATTTTATATTGCGATTTGACTAATCGCATATCGTTTAGTGGGCCAAAAGGAAACTAGTACACGAGGTCAGAGAGTCAAAAACCTTCTTTGGTACTAAAATTTTAATATATATAGCCGACTATTGTTTACTTCATTTCTTCGAAAGCGCTCCGCCTTTTCACTGTGATGCATCCGCGGCGACCCATCACGTCAGCCGAACCCAGCTCACGCATTGGACACGAGGACTGCGTACCTTGGACGTTTGAGCTCGTCAACAATCAATCCGTTGACGAATATGCGATTTCCCCTTCGTGGCCAATGACTGCCGTGACAGCAGCTATCATCATCTGCGAATGACAACTTCCATGGTGCACGGTGGAAACTTGGAGTCATCGCATACGGTGCCCAAGCACGTCACGATCACGTGATTTCTCATTTTGCCTTTGAGTTGATTATTAAAACTAAGGACGAAGAAGTTAAAAAAAAAATTTCACGGTTCCTTTTATGGTGGAAATTATTTCCTACTGAGACGGACAAGCATTGCGGCTATGACCTTAGGAATCTTCTGCAAACATCTTCGAACTTCTTTTGTACTTTGAATAAGCCAGCGGCTTCACAAGTCCGCGGTTACATTTTTACAATATGGCAGATCTCTAAGAGACCAGTAACCTCTGTTCCTTCTCTAACCGCTGTTTTTATTCTCACCCGCTGCCGCACCTCCGGAAAATTGCGACATTTCCAGCAAAAACTGAGCGCCGTACCAGTATTTTTTCAACCGTCATTTGATGCTGGATTAGCGCTGCGCTGCCCACAGGAAGCGATCTTTAACTTACCCCGAGGTAGAACATATACTCGTTTGTACACATGTAAATTTTAGAACCATCTATCCCACGGACATTCATATAATATTTTTATTAATGCCTACTAACGGTTAACGCAGCTGGCCTCAGTTATATTCTGGCCTACTCCGCAGTTTAGATGAAGTCGTAAGGCGTCCATGTTACTAGTCTCAGAGTGCAGCGTTGTTTATGTTGTATAGCTGAGACGCATCGACAAAGTTGATGCGCCTCAGCAATAGCACAAGAAAGCCGACAGATGTTGCCGGCTCTTCGCCTTTGTGCGCTAGTTTGCCGATTGTGATCTGGCACTAGGTCAAACTGCCATAGGTAACGCCCATGCGCCTGGGATACCTGTATATTTACTCGACGACGCCACGAACAATAAAGACTAACGAGAGTTTATGAGAACGTATTTTTATAGGGCCAGATTTGTTTCGTTTTATTTGGTCATTGTTCACCGAAGGTAAATAGAGAACATTATATATTTGAGAAAGACCGTGTTCATGCCCTTCGAAAGCCGTTCTTTCTAGAAACATATCCGTAGCTCTTAGGACAGCATTCATGTAAATTGAACAACCACTCGCGCAAAAATATCTAGTCAGTAAAATAAATGATGCAAACAGTGTAAAGCAGAGAAAGCAGCCCATATGTGTATCGTGTGCGATTCTCGAATAAAAAGTAAAACCCCAAAAAGCGAGTGTGTCATTCAGGCGACGGAGTTCATGCCGAACCAGGAGTACCCGAAGATGGAGCCGTACAGCCAGGTCTTCCAGAGCAGACTTTGTTCACCGGCCGTAAGGAGGAACAGGCAGATGAACACCGCCGTAAGGGAGTGAGTGTACCACGTGGTTGTAGAATTGGTGGCAGGGAACTTCATGGGCTCAGACAGTTCCGAAACTGCGCCGTCCGCACCGTAGTAAGCCTCTAAGAGACTGAAAGGAATAAATTGTGGCCGTAAGACAGACTGTTGCCACGTTTCCAAGAAGCAATACCGGAGGGCCGCACAACCACTGCCCCTTTTCCTCTTCACTTTGGAGACACAAAGGGTACAGGCAGAAGTTAGGTGGAACCCGCTTCGTCGTGTGGGCCTCGCTAGAGCCACGAAATAAGCTATGCACTCCATCCCTAGATTTGCTTGAGGACGTTGCCATTTTGGTGTTTAGTGAAGAGTTTGGTTACGGCACCGCTGCCGCAATGCATGGAGGGAACTTTAGTCTTTCTACACGCGCGACAACCTGGCTGGAGCTCTGCGCATGCAGAGCGCGATGCGGCGCGAGCCGTCTCGAGCATTACCAACACCTCCTATACACCTTTCAAGGCCTGCGCGTCACGCGACATGACGTCATGTCCCGGAGCCCTGCACGAGCGCTAATTAGATGCGAGTGTCGAGTCAGCGTTCGCGTAGGACTCGTTTCCTATCATAGTCCCACGCGAAGGCTGACGCGGCACTCGAATCCAATCAGTGCCCGTGCAGGCCACCGGGGCGTGACGCCATGACACGTGACGCGCAGGCTTGAAAGCTGTCTAGGAGGTGTCGGCACTGCCGCCTGCCTCTTGTGAGCTGAAGTTAGGGCGGCTTCGCGCATGCACCAGACGCTTGGTGAGAACGGTAGTGGTGGTGAAATATGGTAAGATCGGTGAACTTAAAGGAGCTGTGCAACGATATTCAATTGGAATGTTTTTCTCTCTACACGAGCTTACTGGCACACCTGGGACTCAAGGATACTCACACGCAACGCCATTGGCCAAGAAACTCCTTTGTTGCGGTGTAATTTCAAGGACAAAAGCGATCATTTTCATTCAATCTCTCCTTTACAAAATTTGATGACGTAACTCGGGGATCGTAGTACACCCAAGTGACGATATTTGAATGCTGTTCATAGATTGGACCCGAGCATTGCGTGGACACTCGACTTGGGCTCGTGATAATTACTAGCTCGAGAAGCATTCGGGTAGCGGTCCGTGTCCAATCGCTGCAACAACGACAATAGCCGAGCCATAACAATGTCTGGAACTCAGCGCGTGCCCTGTGCTTTGCCAACCCCAGCGCGTGGCTATGATCAACATTGGCGGCATATAATCGGCTCCAGATCACGTGGCCGCTTGTTCTGGCTGCGAGTTGAGGGAGTGAACGCTGCTCGTTTTTCTTTAATTTTTTTCTGGGACTTCTATTGCGTGGGGTGAAAAACGAACGGGTGTTTCATAGGTCATTAACGTCAGGGATCCGTTTTAAGCGGTATTTGCGCAAAGTACAAAAATTGTTGCATAGCTCCTTTAAGTTAGGCGTTCGTTACGATTCGAAAATGCGACTTTCCAGGATTTGCCGAAAAATATAGTACAAGTTATATTTGGAGAGGTCCTGAATTTTATACCGAGTGTTTCAGCTAAGATTTTCGAAAATAGCAAATAGAGTTGTTGAAAAAACAATCATCGGGAATAAACTGCCGGTCACGGCGGACGTCACGGATTGCAAAGAACATACTAATCAGCTCAATACTTAAATAAAA